CCGGAATTACAGGCGCGCGCTACCACGCCCGGCTGATTTTTTGATTTGTTGTAGAGATGAAGTCTCGCTGCCCAGGCGGGTCTCACACCCGCGGGCTCAGGCAGTCCACTCACCTCAGCCTCCCAAAGGCGCGGGATTACAGGCTGAGCCACCGAGCCCGGCTGGGATAAGACTTCTAACCCCTCAGATGTGCTGGGAGTATGGGAGAGGTGACAATAAATTCAAGAGAGCTTTTGGACATAAAAGCAATGGAGTTTGTACTTTATTTTGTCTTGACAACTGGATGAATGTTGGTGCCATCTATAGCAGCACATTGCTGGGAAAAAAAAAGATGGGGTCAGTACTGGACAAGTGAGTTTGTGCTTGTGAAAAACCTGTGTATAGTGTCTCATACTTGATTGAAAAAATACTCTTCTGGAGTGAGCAGCGAGGGTTAATGACAAGATTGGAGGCTGTCTGCTTTCTGGAAGTGGCAGTTGAAGTCATAGCTGTGACTGAGGAGGCTCATGAAGAGTCTGAGGAGAAGGTTGTGAGTAGAACACAAATGAACATCATCTCTGAAGAGGCAGAGAAGTGTGCCAAGGTGACCAAAGAAGGAAACCAGAAATTAGGGTTGTCACAGAATCCAAGAGAAGAGAATTTCAAGATGAGAAGAACAGACGACTATATCAGCTACTGATGAGAGGTCAAAGAATGGGAAGACTGAACATGACCACCAGTGGATTTGTTAGTTAGATGAGTGCCAGTGACTTTCCTAGGTATGACCAGCCCTCCCACCAGGGGTGAGTGAGTGACAGGCTGAGTGAAAGGCAGGAAGAGGAAGGAAATCATGTAGCAGTTGGCTGGATTGTAAATGGGAGACAGAGATGCCTAACTGCCGAGAAGTGAAGCCACTGTGAGTTGCTAGTCAGGTCTGTAGGGTTTTCATTGTTTTTTCTTTTTTTTTTTGAGTTACAGTCTCACTCCGTCACAACAGGCTGGAGTGCAATGGCATGTTCACGGTCTCCCCAGCATCGATCTGCTGGGCTCAGCTGATTCTTCTGCCTCAGCCTTCCATGTAGCCCGAACTACAGGCATGCGCTACCATGCCTGGCTGTTTTTTTATTGTAGAGGTGAGGTCTCGTCAAGTTGCCCAGACTGTTCTTGAACCTTTGGACTCAGGCAGTCCCCTCACCTTGGTCTCCCAAAGTGCTGGTATTACAGGTTTGAGCCACTGTACCCAGACTGTTTTTTCAAGGTAGTAAAGACTTCATGGTGAGGGGAGAGTGTTAATACAGAGAGAGGTTGAAAATTCTGGAGAAATAGGATAGAGGAAAGGTCTAGTGTTGTGAAGACTCCAATGCATAGGCAAGCCTCAAGAGAAAGAACACCTTCATCCCAAATGTGGACAGATTGGAGCCTGAGCTGCCATCTGGACCAGCTGCTGCATGGTCAAATCCTGTCTTCTAGGTGTATATAACTATATACAGATAATTAATTTTCACAGAATTAGAACATAGTAGACCTATCTGTGCATAACTGTTTTCAGTAATGTTACTTGGAAATAAACACTAAAACAGTAAATAACATTATTTGGAAAAGTATGGAATTGGTAGCTGTTGTATAGACTTCCATTTGTAGAATTTTATTTAGTTAAAAACTTTAAGCCGGGCTTGGTGGCTCAGCCTGTAATCCCACGCCTTTGGGAGGCTGAGATGAGTGGATCGCCTGAGCCCTCGGGTTCGAGACCCGCCTGGGCAGCGAGACCTCATCTCTACAATAAATCAAAAAATCAGCCGGGCGTGGTAGCGCATGCCTGTAGTTCCAGCTACTCAGAAGACTGAGGCGGAGGGATCGCCAGAGACCAGCAGGTCGAGGCTGCGATGGCCGGGAGCGGCCGCTGCCCTCCAGTCTGGGCGACAGTGAGACTCCAACTCAAAAAAAACAAACAAAAAAAAAAAACTTTACCACTGTAGCCTCTTTGTTTATAACTGGATTGTTGCAGCCCTAAGAAACTGTATTGTAAAACAGTTTGTTTTAGTGAGAAAAGAGTTAAATAGAGAGTTTCAGACCCTCACTAAAAAGTTATTTACCCTGTGGAATTAAGGTGTTTTTATATAAAAATCTAGCTATAAAATCCAGACATCATAAGCATTCTGGGTATTTGATCCCATCTAATTCTCACTAAAGAGAAATAGCTTTTCTTTTTTAGATATTGCAGACACTGTCATTAACACCTCATCACTTATTGTTATGAAAAAGAACACAAAACCGCCCTAAGCTGCAGTTGAAAACCCATTTTTTTTTCATTGTGGTACATTTAAAATTGCCCACTCTTAGTTCATTTTATAACCAGTATAGTACATGTAATGCAAATCCTGTATCCTAATTAAGTAATCACTTAAAAAAAAATATGAAAACTTATGCTGTAAAACAAACTCCTGTATTTAATAAGCTTTAAATCATAGAATGTCAGAGTGAACTTTTTGTTCCAAGAAGTCAGTTTGGTATACCAGAGGAACTAATTCTTTTTTTTTTTGAGTTGGAGTCTCACTGGAGAACATTGGCACACCCAAGGCCACCCTGGTGTTGACCTGCTGGACCCCAGTGATCATTTTTTATTTTATTGTAGAGACGAGGGCTTACCAAGTTGCCCACGCCGGTCTTGAACCTGTGGGCTCAGGCAATCCACTTGCCTCAGTCTCCCAAAGTGCTGGGATTACAGGCTGAGCCACTGAACCCGGCCAGAACAAATTCGTAATGTTTCCTAAATTATAGAATTTACCAGGAACCTGGAAAAATAAAATGCTGTTAGTGCTTACTGACTTGGAAGATGTCTAAAATAATTAGAAACCTTTCTCTCTAGGATTTCCTTCTTGGTAGTGTCTTAATATTCTGTAAGGTGAATTTTTAAGTTTACCATACATGTGGAATAGGTCATTCTTTAAGCATTAAATCCTTCCCCCTTTTCCTGTCATGCCTATTCACTTTTAGTATAATGAATGCTATATTCTAATAGGACTTTTTTTTTTGAGTTAGGATCTTTCTCTGTCATCCAGGCTGGAGTGCACTGGCATGCTTATGGCTCATTGCAGCCTTAAACTCCTGGGCTCAAGTAATCCTCCAGCCTCAGCCTCTCGAGGAACTGGGACTACAGGTGCATGCCATTACACCCCTTTTTTGTTTGTTTGTTTTGTAGAAACAAGGTTTCACTGATGCCCAGTCTGGGCCCAAGCAATTCTCCTGCTTCAACCTCCCAAAGTTCTAGGATTTACGGCATGAACCATGGCACCTGGCTGCTAATAGATTTTTAAAGATCATCTGGGGCCGGGTGCTGTGGCTCAGTCTGAAATCCCAGCATTTTGGTAGGTCGAGACAAGAGAATTGACTGAGCCTGGGGGTTCGAGACCAGCCTGAGCAACTTGTTGAGACCTTGTCTCTACAATAAATCACAAAAACTAGCCAGGCGTGGTAGCTGAGGCGGAAGGATCACCTAAGCTCAGCAGGTTGAGGCTGCGGTGGCCATGAGTGTGCCATTGCATTCCAGCGTGGGCAACAAGAGTGAGACTCCAACTCAAAAAAATAAAAATAAAAATCAGCTGTATTGAGATACAATTCATATGCTATTCAATCATATAACAAGTGTAATTCAGTGGTTTTCAGTATATTTACAGATATGTGCAACCATAAACCACAGTGAATTTAAAAAAAATTTTGACTAATAGATTGTTAAAAATATTTCAGCTAAAAAAAATTATAAAAATGAAACCCAGCCGGGCTCGGTGGCTCAGCCTGTAATCCCGCGCCTTGGAGAGGCTGAGGTGAGTGGATTGCCTGAGCCCGTGGGTTCGAGACCCACCTGGGCAGCGAGACCTCATCTCTACAATAAATCAAAAAATCAGCCGGGCATGGTAGCACATGCCTGTAATTCCGGCTACTTGGAAGGCTGAGGTGGAAGGATCGCCGGAGCCCAGCAGGTCGAGCCTGCGGTGGCCGGGAGCGGCCACTACACTCCAATCTGGGTAACAGAGTGAGACTCCAACTCAAAAAAAAAAAAAAAAATGAAACCCAGTATAAAGCTCTTAGAAGTATTTTTCTAGTATGGAAATTCTTCTTTTGACAAATTTGCAGCGTGTCATAGCTACTTGCTAGCTGTAAATTCAGTTCTGCCCACTAACTTGTGGAATGAGAAGTTGCTTATATGGTGCCACTTTGTATATAGGGAAAACTGACAGATGTTTAAGAAGAGGAACTTCTTCTGCTGGGCTCGGTGGCTCAGCCTGTAATCCCGCGTCTTTGGGAGGCTGAAGTGAGTGGATTACCTGAGCCCGTGGGTTCGAGACCCGCCTGGGCAGCGAGACCTCATATCTACAATAAATCAAAAAATCAGCCGGGCATGGTAGTGCATGCCTGTAATTTCGGCTACTTGGAAGGCTGAGGTGGAAGGATCGCCGGAGCCCAGCAGGTCGAGGCTGCGGTAGCCGGGAGCGGCTACTGCACTCCAGTCTGGGCGACAGAGGAGACTTCAACTC